TTCTTGGGGCAAACCCAGGGCCTATGGAGCCTTTCCAGCCCCGCTATTCTGTCATGTGTACCATTCCTCTTGTGATGGGCCCCAGGAGAGCCTCAGACCTTCTCAATTCGGGGTCACCAGACAGTTGCTTTGCCAGATCCATTGTAGCCCATATAAGCTAGGAACATTCCAACTAGGGGAAAGAGGTATCCCTAGTTATCATATGACCACCTGAGGCTGAGTGCACTAAGCAGACACAAAAAGAGAAGTGCTGTGTGGTTGTACTTACAGAGACAATAAAGTAGAAGTTCCCTAGGGCTGGAGGACCAGGAAAAGAAGCTGCCATTTAATGAGTATAAGCATCAGTTTGGAATGATGAAAAAGTTCTGGAGATGGGAAGTGGTGAGGGCTTCATAGTGTCATAGTGTCAGTGTCCTTCATACCACTGGGCTGTGCCCTAAAAAATGCTTACGATAGAAAATTTTATGTTGCATATATTTTACCATCATTAAAACTTTATGTGAAAAGAGAAAAATAAAATGCCAAAAGAGGGTTTCGCCACTCATTACACTTCCCTCCCAAATTCCCAATCCCATTATTTTGGTCCTTAGATCCTCAGTTCAATTTATTTGGGGAGAGGGGTTGTTTACCACTGAGTACTAATTGATTGGAAATGATAATGCACCTGTGAGATAAAAATGATTATATGTTGAGGAATAACACTTATTGATAATTAAGTGTTTTATTGCTTCTTTGCTTCCCCAAATGGAATAAATAAATATTTTAGACATAATCAAGTTTGTTTTCTCTGTTGGGCCCAAACAGACAGGGGTGTTGAAGCGATATAGAGCCTTAGAATGCTACAAATGAGTCTTGACACCGCTGAGCTGTTATGCATTCAAGGTGCTGAGGCTCAAAGTCCAGGCTATCTCCTTTAATCAGGAAGAATCACTTTTGTGATCTGTATGTTTTGGGTACTGTGGGGTTAGGGAAGCAGACCAGCAGGGACAGTGTCAGAGTCAGAGTCTGGATGATGCTAAGAGCCTGCCTTTGGCTCCCTTGCAGCTACCTGCATTTAAAGCAATATTTTATTTATTATTTTTATTTGCAGATTAATATTTTTATATGAGTGTGTTGTCTGCATGTATGTAAGTGCACCTGTGTCACGCAATGCCCAAGGAGATCAGAAGAAGGCATTAGATCCCCTGGAACTGGAGTTAGGGATGGTCGTTAGCTGCCATGTATGTGCTGGGAATCAAATCCTGGATCCTTAGCAAAAGGAGCCAATGCTTGTGACCACTGAGCCATCCCTCCAGCTCCAGCCACCCGCATTTTAACTCTTAGCTGGCCACTTTCCTCCTGTCTGCTTGGTGGCTCAGCACAGCTCCTTGGTGGTAGGGACCTGGAGTTGAAGCAGTGATTTCCATGGGGGACCAAGAAGGAGTTGGGTGGCTGAAGAGATAGAGCTTCGCCCTTGCCTCTGATCCACAGTCAAGTGTATATGCTGGCCCAAGGAGGCTCCAAATCAGGCTGCCCTGTGTCTCTGGAGTGGCACTGGCTTCCCTGTCCATCCTGACAGCTGATGTGGGTTTTGCTCATTTACCCACACTCTCCTGCCTTCTGTCTAGAGTGGCATAATTGGGGAGCCAGCAGCCTGGCTACAGGATGTGTGTAGCCCCACTCTGTGGAGACGCAGAAGCCTGTCACCTTCACTGTATGAGTATCCTGTGACTGCCATGACAAATTACCGCAAATTTGGGGGCTGAAAACAGTAGCAGTCAGTTCTCACAGAGCAAAAGGCTGGGACTGCTTGCTCCGGAGTTGTGACAGTCTTTTTTTTTTTTTTTCGGTCTTTTTGAAACAGTGTCTCCCTGTAGCCCCAGCTGGTGGCCTGGAACTTGCTGTGTAGACCAGGCTGACCTGGAACTCACAGAGATCCACCTGCCTCTGCCTCTCAAATGCCGGGACTAAAGGTGTGCAACACCACAGCCAGCATAAGTGACAGTCTTTTCCTGCCTCTTTTGGTATCCAGTGACTCCTTGTTGTGGACACATCCCTTGTTCTGTGCCTGCCTGTGCCTCCCTGTGGTCTTTTCTCTTCATCTCAATCTCCTTTGTCTTATGAGGACACCTGTCATAGGACTTGGAGCCCTCCCTAAATCTGGGATCCTTAATCTTATTTGCAGAACCACTTTTTCCAAATAAGATTACATTATTGGGTTCCAGAGGTCAGGTTGTAGGTATATATTTGGAGGGCTACTATTCAACCCACTGTAATCATTCTAATTAGCAGTAGCGTTTTTAAAAAGAACAAGAAAAACAACTAGTTCACTTGGACTTGTTTTATTTGCAAGGTACTGAGGTTTAGAACTAGGCTGGAGAGTTTATCTTCACAGGCAGCTGTGGTCCACAGGCTGGAGGCAAGGGACATGAGGGAGGGGCAGGGTCTATCCCAGGTAGAGGCTCTCCATGACAAGTCCTTAGATCAACCATAGAGAGTGACTATCACAGGACACAGGTAGGAGCAGTGCATGCAGAAAGAAGAGCCAGATCAGTCAGGAGGCAGACTAGCAAGATGCTCAGATCCCAGAGGCACAGAAATGGCTCATTCCATCATCTGCTCAACACATACTGTGTTAGAGGTGCTGTTTCGTCCCAGAGACCTGTTGAGAACAAGGCCCCAATCCCTACCCTAGTCCAGCACAACTAGTTTGAGGTCCGTGCTGGTCCCTTCCTTCCCTGCATCCTTGTTGCCCCTTCTGTCCCTGGGGGTGTTTGGAAGAGTGATGGGTCATCATCCCTTCTTGTACGGCCAAGTGGGATCTGAGTTCTAGGATAGTGGGCAGGAAAAAGATGATTAACCAAAGAGATACAGGTCCCTGCTTATGCTGGGTATAGAGTACCTTCATGGGAAGTTTAGCCTGATGGTTTGAAGGCATCTCCCAACCTGGGCTTCCTGAAACACAGGAGGATGAGCACAGTATCCTTGGGAAGTCAAAAGTGTTTGAAGAAGTAAGGGAGCAAACATCAGACCCTCGAAAGTCCAGAGAGAGGTGCTTTTGATGTGTCTCTCCTCCATCTCTTCAGTGGCAAGTGGGATTAAGGGCTGAGAAGATGGTGACACCCAAAGAGAAGGAACCAGAAAGTCTTGTAGCTTTCTGTCCAGGAGCATGACTGGGGAAGGGAGCAGTGGATCCAAGCCTGGTAAGGGGCTAGGAGCTGTTTGGTTGGACTTCATATCAAACATGACGTGTGATGACTGCTTCAGACCTCAGGTTATTGACAACCCAACTTTTACCCAGTGACACTGGGGAAACTTGCCAGTTTTGGGCCCCTTCAACAGACCAGCGTGTTCTCCTTGAGGCATGCCTGACATCTGCCTCGTGTTTATAATGGGCTTAACTATGTATACTGGGGACATCAGCTCAGTATTTGGTACACAGAAACAAATGACACATTCTGAAGACCATGGTTGCATTTGTGTGGTGTTCCTTGTCCTCTCTTTTATTGTAAGTTGTTTGAATGCAGGGAATGGCCTTCCTTTCTTGAAGAATCTTCTAGAACCTGCAGCAGGAGCTGTGATATTTAAGCTCTGTGTGTCAGCTCCCTGCTCTCTGGTATTCCTTAGAAGGTGGTGGTATAGGTGGATTTATGAGCTCGGAGTGACCCTAAAGATTCTCCCTCCACTTGGGTGGCTGGGTACCAAAGCAGACACAGAAGCTGGAAAGGGGCACATCTGTATCTTACGCATTAGTCTGAAGTGTTCAGCATTGTATTCAGCCACATTTGTATCTTTGGGGCAAAGAGTGCCTTGGTTGAGACTGTTGTCACAAAAGTGCATAGCTTGTAAACAACAGAAGTCTATCATAGTTCTGGAAGCCAGAAGCCAGTGGTCAGTGTACCAGTGTGGTTGGTTTTAGTGAGGGCTCATTTTGGGCAGGAGAGAGAAAAGGGATCATGCCTTTTTATAAGGGCACCAATTTCAGTCACAAGGGTTCCATCCTCATGACCAACTTCACCTCCCAGAGACCTCCTTTTCTAACATCATGGCACTAGGAGGTAGATTTCAACATCTGAATCTGGCAGGTGAGGATTGGGGAGACAAAATAGTCAGTCAGTGACAGCTCTGGGAGTCCTGATCTAGGAAGTCATCCGAGTGACCTAGTGTCCAGTTGCACCACTTTCATTTGTACATGAGAAATGTGAGGTCCAGAGAGGAGAGGCAGCTGCCCAGGTTACAAGAGCTGCCTTGGCTAGATTGGAACCCAGGACCCCACCTAATCAGTGTCGTACCAACACTGCAGCTGTGTTCCATGCATGTGGTAGTGTGGTGCTTACTGAGTGGGGTCACAGATGGGGACGGATGCTGGAAACGCTGTTGGGGGTGAGAAGAGAAGAAAGGAAGGGGCAGGAGAGTGGAGAGAGGCACGCAGGATGCTGAGCGGCGGTCGCCTGCCAAAATTCTTCAGTGCAGCTTCTCTAGTAAAGCTGGTCTCCAGCCGAGTAAATACAGTGGATAGCTGACGGGCTGACAGCAGGCATCAGACAGTCTTAAACTGCCCCAAATCCACAGTGCTTTTGAAGCAGCAGTAGAAAAAGGATGCCCACGCAGAACAGAGGCCTACAACTTTTAATAGTTTCTTCCAGGCCTCAGGATGTCCTGATGAGGTATTAGAGGAAGTAATTCAGGAAGAAAAGGACAAATAACCGCCTCCACATGGAGGCCAACCCAAGGGCTGGCCATCACAGCTTGCAGAAAGAACCAATGTAGCCCTGTAGTGATTGCAAACAGCTGAGTTTGCTTCAGGGTAGAGGAAAGCCACACAGTGCTGGATGCATGTGGGTGAGATCATGAATGTTACCTCACTGTTGGAAGGGTGCTGGGTACAAATTGGAATTACTTCCTGGACCTCCAGGCCCCACCCACCCACATTTCCATCTGGAGCCTGTGCTGCCTGCTGGCTGGCCGACAGAAACCAAACTCACCCTTCCTATTTTCTCTTTTTTCTCTTTTCCCTTTAGGGTTTGGCTTTGTCACTTTTGAGAATGAAGACGTTGTAGAGAAAGTCTGTGAGATTCATTTCCATGAAATCAATAATAAAATGGTAAGTCTGGAGGGATTGCCCTGCATTGGGGCACCCCTTTCCCTGTGTGTACACCCCTGTCTTGTGGATGGCTGCGGTCTCTGTTATGCATGCAGTGAGTGAGCAGGATTAGGTATGAGGACCAGCTGTGAGAGTTGAGCCTTGTGAACAGTAGCAGTTGTGTAAAACAGCAGCCAACAGATTCTTTTTATAAAGACTAGCTGAGTGTGGTGATGCAGACCTGTAGTCCCAGCACTTGTACTCAGGAGACTGAGGCAGAAGGATTGTCACAAGGTCCAGGCCAGCCTGGTGGTCTACATAGTGAATTCCAGGCCAGCCAGGGATATATAGTGAGACCCGGCCTCAAAAAGCCAAAAATAACCTGGGGAGATAGCTCAGCTGGTGAAGTGCTTGCTTGTAAGCATGAGGACCTAAGTTTAATCTCTAGAAGCTGTATTTAAAAAGCTAGGCATGGTAAGGATGCTTGGAAGTCCAGCACTGGGGAGATGGACCCTGGAGGGTCTCTAGGGATCACTGGCCAGCCAGCCTACTCTAGTTGGTGAGTTCCAGATCAATGAGAAACTCTCAAAGAAAAGAAGAGGTGGGCAGCCACTGAGGAAGACTGCCAGAGGTAGTCTCCTGGCCTATGCATATGCACGCACGCACACAGAAACAACTGCACACACATACACAAAGCCAAAGTTAATAAAAATAAAAGGACAAATAGTATTACCAGCCTTAGGAGTGATTCAGCTGACAGTTGCAACTGCTCTGTGTTGTAATGCAGAAGTATCAATAGACTATACATATATGAATTTCATGTAAGTCTCACAGGTCTTAACCATCCCTCCCCTCCCCTCCCCCTGTGGACTCTAGCGTGCCAAGCAAGTACTCTATATTTTGCTATACTTTCAGCCCTCTCATTTTCTAACCATTTAAAAAATGTAAAAATAAATAAATAAGGGGCTGGAGAGGTGGCTCAGTGGTTGAGAGCACTGGCTGAGGACCTGGATTCAGTTCCCAGCACCCACATGATGGCTAGCAACTGTCTGTAACTCCAGTTCTAGGGGATCTGACATCCTCTGGCTTCTTTGGGTATTACACAACATGGTACATTTACGTACAGGTAGGCACACTCATACACATAAATTTTTTAAAATATTTAAATATTGGAACTTACAAAAAGGGTCAAGGACATGCAGGATGTGGCCCCATGGGCCCCAGTTTGCCATGCCCCTGGATTCAGATATGCTTTTGATGGGAGGCCTTTGAAGGGCAGATCCTAGGTAAAAGGCTTGCCAAGCTGTTTGTCTTTCTGCCTTTATAATCCACTGCCTCTTTCCCTCCCCTTGGCTTTTTGAAGTCCCTTTTCTTTGTCAGGGAAGCCTCAGGAGGAGGGAAGTGCCATTTTAGAATTCTGGGGAGCCTAGGTCGTCACCCATAGAAGCAGCCGCCAGAGGGCGCCATGCCCTGTGCAGTATGTGCCTGCTCTTTCGGCCATCTCTCCTCATCTCTCAAGCTGAGTGGGGGGTGACAGACCCCTTCTTTGTTGGTTCCAGAAAAAAAAAAACAAAAAAAAAAAAAAAAAAAAAAAAAAAAAAGGAAGCTCAGCAGGCATTTCTGGAACCATCTGCAGGTCCCCCAGAGCACAAACATTTTGGTTGGCCAGCAAAGCCTCTAGCCCTGAGAGAAAAGGGCGGACAAATGTGTGTTTCGATCACAGCTGTGACTTTGATATTTTCTCTCTTTTGTCAAAACATTCCTTGCTTCTGAAACATGCATTCAGATATGCATTGTATATTGGTCTGATATGTGTTCACCAACTTTAAATTCAATAATAGAGCTTTTAGTGTGGATAAGATCAAAGCAATCTGCTTAGCATGTGGTGCTATGGGCCTGATTCAATATTTGACTTGCTAATTTTTTCCCAGGGCACTAAAATAATATTGTTCATATTGTTCCTAGCCATCATATGCATCTGAAATGAAAATACTCTTTCTTTGCATAGTGTATGTTGGCGGCATCTGCACAGGCATTAAATTGTATGGGGGAGATAAGTGTAGAAGAGCAGCATGGGTTTCTTTGTGGGCTTTGTGCCCTCCAGATGCATCTCCCTCTCATTGGTACCCCCCACACACACACCCTCCATAGGTTACTACTTGCTATTTTAAAGCTAGAGAGGTGGAGAATTTACACCTGTATACAGATACATTGTTTATCCTCGCCAGAGCTTGCTGAGCAGCAGGGAGTGGTAGAGTCAGCAAAGGGTACAGGCAGATACCCTTCCTGGGTATCTTAACAGTTCATTGAGAAAGGCCCAAAGCAGGCAAGAAATGAATCTGAATATCATTATTGGCAGACTTTGAAATGAACCTAAGATACGGGCTGGGAAGGACTTTATCCTCCTCTCTATCTCAGTAGGGAAACTGAGGCCCAGAATCAGCCCCAAGGGCTACCCACATAGTGCCACATAGTAAAGGAACATAAGTTTTGAGCTTTCTGGCTGCCTAATAAGCTGTAAAGGCTCTTGTCTGAGCTTGAGGTGACTCTATCCCTCAGAGGACTCGGGGATCGGGGGATCAGGAAGTGTTGAGTGTCAGCTCCAGAAAGAGGAGCCATGAGCTGGCTGGAAGCCAGAGAGGCTGGTGGCTATTTTGCAGGCCTTTCCACTCTTCAGCCAGATGGAACTGACTCTGCTGTAAGAGTGCCTGTTTTCCTTTCATCTGGGGCTGGTACTTATACTATAAGAAATCAGCAAAAATGGAAGTGGACAGAGAAGGGAAGACATGGGGACAGAGTAGTTCAGAGTCCAGGCTTTGGAGTATTAGTACAAATTCCCAGCCAGTCATACCCTGGGGAGGAATTCAGAGGTCCCGTAAGGGGGCCAGGGGAGGTCACTGAGCTCTGGCAAGCAGAGCCAATGGTGTCGCTTCCCTGGGTTGTTGGAGGCCAAGTTTACCACCACGAGCAAAGGGCTTTGCACACTGCTTGCCACAGGGCTCAGACTTTACTGTCTTGACAGTTCTTCCTCCAGCCACCTCCCCCGGCTTTAAAGAAGGGTGGAATTTAGAGGGGGTTATGATAGAGGAGCCTGCAGCCAGGGTTACTTTTGAATTCACAATGAAAGGAAATGCATTTAAACCATGCTATGGACAGAATTTGAATGAGGGACCCATGGAAAACCGGAAGACCTCTAAGAAGGAGCCCAAACCCCTGCTAGAATGGACATAGGAGAGTTTGCTACGCTGATTGTGCTGTGAACCTGGAAAGGCCAATCTCCTTTGACCTTTGCCATTGCCCCCCCCCCCCCCAGCATGGGTGCCTGAAGCAACCACTTTCTTATATCCAAAGATCAAGATAGGTCTCAACACTGAGTCACAGAGTTAGGACTTGAATCCAGGATCTCTGGTCAATGGCCTTTGCCTGGTACTCATCAGACTTTATTAATACTTAGGAAATAAGTAAAGGAATCAGTGAGGGACCAACCATGTGACTATGAGGCACATGCCCCAGAGCAGTTTTCTGTCTAATTTAGTTGGTAAAGAGCCATTTCTGTCTAATTTGGTTGATGAATCTCATGGGTGTTTTAAAAATGGAGGGCCCATGCTAGGCACATGCCTTTAATTTAGCACTCAAGAGACAGAGGCAGGCAGATCTCTGTGAATTCAAGGCCAGCCTGGTCTACATAGCAAGTTCCAGGCCAGTCAGAGCTACACAGTGAGATCTTGTCTCAAAAACAAAACAAAGCAAAAAACCCTGAAGGCCCTTGAGCATCAGGGAGCCAGAGCAGGTGGAGGGCTATGGTGTTCCCCAGGTAGCCTTACCGTGAGGAGGTTATCTCTAGGGTAGGGTAGGAGTTTGGCCAAAAAGACCCCACATGGCACCTTCTAACATAGGTCACAAAGTAGCTAAAATTTTAGGGTGCCCATATTTCAGTTGCTAGACCCTTGCTTCATGAATTTTGCCTGATTTGATTATCACACTCCCTCTGGTATAGGCAAAATCAAACCATAATCCCCATTTTACAGACAGGCAAGGCAGAGATGAGGCAGCTTGCTCAAGAACACACAGTCATCAAGTGGTAACCCTTAGAATTCAGCATCAGAAAGCTATACTCAGGAGCTTGTGGTTGTACTGTGAGGCTGTCCCTCTCTGGGCCGGAAGGGACTATGATGATGGTCTTACTGGGTTATAAGGCCTCCTGTGGCCGATGAACATCCTTTCCTTCTCCCATATTGTGGCCCATGTGGTTTCTTAATCGCCTAGAAGGTCAGAGTAGACTAGCTCACTTGAAGGCCAGATTCCCAGCTAGGAAGGAAGACCAGATTTGGGTTTAGGGTTGCTAATCAGCCATGGATCCAAGCCTTTTCCATGAACCATGGATGTGGTGGGGAGCTGGCCACCACCCAAGCTTAGGGCCCAACTCAGGAGAGCTGAGATTTGGCTCCAGCTGGGACAAATGCATATGTGCCTGTCAGTAAACACAGTTCAGGCTTGGAGTGTCCTCATGACCCTCCCCTCTGGCCACTCCCCAAGCCCCAGCCGGGTGCAGCTAATAACGCCTCCCATGGCGGCATGCCCCTGATTGAAGAAGCCGGAGCAGCAGGGACACTTGCTTGATTAGCCGCCAGAGCCCAACCTGCGAGCAGCCTCCTCACAAGCAGCCTCCTCACACGCCAGGCAGCTGCAAGGAGGGAAGTGAGAATTGACACAAAGCCAGCTCCTGGGCTCCTCAGAGGCCTGGCGCAGCCCCCATCTCAAAATGATGCCAGGGAGTAGGCACCTTCGTTGGGTTAGAGCAAAGGGTAGTGTGTGGAAAGTGTCTGGTAGAGCCTTCTCTTAGACCTTGTTCAACGCACGGAATTGGTGTTCCCAGGTGCCGTGCTTTGTAGCCAGACACCACCTGCCTTCCTTGCAGCATGCTAAGTGAGCTTCCTGCCACCCAAGCTTGGAGCAAAGGAGGGACTTGCATGGTGGGACAGTCACAAGTGGTAGAGCTGAGATTTTTGTTGTTGTTGTTG